CATGCTCGCCCCTACCAAGTCATACGCGTTTGGTTGGAGGGAGGGGGCAATTTTCATTCGTGGGGACACTGTGCAACGTAACACACATATTTACAGCTTCCTTCAAACATTTATTACCATGACTGTTTACTCATTACTATTCCTGTTATGAAATATTTAATGACAGGGATTAACCAATGTTTTATGATAGTTACCCAAAGTAACATGGTTTTTCTCCCTGAGTACTAAGTGCTACTTTTAAATTGTTATATACCACATGGCTATTATTCCCCACAAACTTTGTTTTAGCGACCACGTATTTGTGTGAGGGAATGACACTTATGCACTCTTTGAAAATCGGTATATTTCTAAATATCACTGTCCTGCTCACAAAAAAACAAGTTTGAGCGGAAAAATAGCCTTTTTCTGTACTCTTGAGGCATAAGCAGCCAAGTAATATCACTTACTGCACAGGGGCAAACCAATAAATCTACACATTGCTATTATGTCTTTGTTCAAACATATTTACACTTGCCCCCTCAGTACGGGGGTTGAGCAGTGTCGTTATGTAAATTACGCTTGATTGGTGCCCATCTGGTCATAGTTGCAGGTAGGATAGGTTGATTTATTATTAGTTGACTTTCATTTATTTGCCGCTTTTGCTCGTGGCAAATATTTGCACTAAAATGGCGGAACACCCTCTTCTTTGCTCTTAATTACTTACTTATTATACACGCGTGCATTTCCCTTCTCCCTTGCTTCTTTCGCTAAAGTCACGTAGATAAAAAAAAACTATTATTAAAAAACTTAGTAAATATAAAAGTTATAGTGTGTGTGTGAGTCGATGTGTGTGTGTGAGTCTATGTGTGTCAGTCGATGTGTGTGCATCGATGTGTATGCCTGTGAGTCCATGTGTGTTTGTTAGTCCATATGTGTGTGTAAGTCGATGTGTGTGTAAGTCGATGTGTGTGCGTGTGTGAGTCGCTGTGTCTGTGTGTGTGCAGGTCGATGTATGTGTGTGTGGGTCGATGTATGTGTGTGTGAGTCGATGTGTGTGTCAGTCCATGTGTTGGTATGTCAGTCAATGTGTGTGTGTGAGAGTCGATGTGGTTGTGTGTGTAAGTCCATGTGTGTGCATAAGTCGATGTGTGTGTAAGTTCATGTGTGTGTGAGTCCATGTGTGTGTGTGTGTGTAAGTTGATGTGTATGCGCAAGTCGATGTGTGTGTAAGTCGATGTCTGTGTGTGTGAGTCGATGTGTGCACGTAAGTCCATTTATGTGTATAAGTCGATGTGTGTGTGTGTGAGTCGCTGTGTGTGTGTGCAAGTCGATGTGTGTGTGTCGATGTATAAATGTGTGTGTAAGTCGATGTGTGTGTGTGAGTCGATGTGTGTGTGAGTCGATGTGTGTGTGTGAGTCGATGTGTGTGTGAGACGTGTGTGTGTGAGACAATGTGTGTGTGTGAGTCGATGTGTGTGTAAGTCGATATGTGTGTGTGTAAGTCGATGTGTGTGTAAGTCGATATGTGTGTAAGTCGATGTGTGTGTGTCCATGTGTGTGAGTAAGTCTATGACGTCTCCTGGCCAAACCCCATCTGGCGGAGCCAGGAGATTGGTATCTTTACCCTCTGGGCTCCTCCAGAAACAACGACAAGCCACTACGGATGGCCACGTGGAATGTTCCATAACTCACTGCGGAGGAGAGGCTGCCACTCCTCTGTCGGGAGCTGGACCAGTACCACCTGGATCTCTGTGGCATTCAGGAGGTCCGGTGGACCGGCTCTGGCTCCTGTCACCATGAGGGGTGGACAGTCCTCTACTCGAGGCAGGAGACTGCCAAACAACAGGGTGTGGCTCTTCTTCTGAACAAAAGAATGAAGGGGGCGTGGGAGCATGCCGGTGAGGTGTGGGAAGCTGTAAGCCCCAGGCAACTTTGGGCTTGCCTTCCCATCAACCAGAGGCAAGAAGTGGTGGTCGTGGTTACTTATGCCCCCACCGAAGACGAACATCTATGGAGGGATGCAGGCAAGGCCGATGAGTCAGATGCCTTCTATGACCTCCTGTCACAGGTGCTGGCTAAAGTGGCCCCTCGGGATAGGGTCATCTTGTTGGGTGACTTCAATGCCCGAGTTGGTCATGATGCTGGCACCTGGTCTGGAGTGATTGGAAGGCATGGGCCAGATTAGCTCAATAAAAACGGTAGGTGCTGCTAGATTTTTGTGCAGCCCATGGGCTTGTAATTACCAACACGTTGTTCTGGTATTGGCGCATCCACACAACATCATGGATATATGCCGGGTCGAAGCAAGAACATCTGCTGGACTACATAGTGACAGATCAGCGGATGCGAGCCCATGTCCTTGACACCAGGACCTACCGTGGAGCTGATCTGTCCTCTGACCATCGACTAGTCATCTGTAAGATGCGCCTGCCATTCTTCCACTCCGGTGGTAGGTGTATTCCTAAGACCCCATTCCAACCTAAGGTGGCCTGGTCTCAGTTAGCTGATGAAAGTTGCAAGCGAGAATTTCATCATCACTTGCGGCTGGGGATGGCATCGTCCCCCACTCCTCCTGATGTCGAGGGTAAATGGGCGAGGTTTAGGACTGTGACTCATGCAGCTGCAATGGCTGCTTTGGGTATGCAGTCCAGACACCCCCAGAGACCCTGGCTGACAGAGGAGGTGTTCAGGAAGGTTGAGAAAAAGCGATAGGCCCACTCTAATCGTCTACAGCATCCCACGTCAGAGAATGAGGAGGCTTACTGCAGCCTTCGCTCGGAGGTTCGGAGAGCCGTGAGGCGCTGCAAGGATGGGTGGTGGTCGCGGGTTGCTGAGGAGATGGAGTCTGCCTCAGTGGCCCACGATCACAAAATTATATTTAACTCTCTCAAAAAAGTTACCTGCAGCGCCACACCTATTACCATCATTAGGGGAAAAAACGGTGATCCAATCTCCGACCCCCAGGAACAGGTTTGCAGATTTGCTGAGCATTTTTGTGAGGTCATGGGGGAGGGGAAATCCCTCAGCCAGGAAAACATCATGGCACAAAGTGGGGATGACCCTGCTGAGGCTGCGGTGCCTCAAATATTGGAAGAAGAATCACCCCCTGTGAGTGGCTGGCTGAGGTGCCATCTGTTGAGGAAGTACTGAAGGCGATCCAGAGTCTGAGACCAGGAAAGGCACCGGGCAGAGATGATCTCCCAAGCGAAATGCTGAGGGAGGGTGGCGTTTGTGAACAGACTGCCCTACATGACATCATAACAACAGTCTGGTCCACTGCACAGGTTCCGCAGAATTGGAAGGATGCCCTGGTGGTCCCCCTCTTTAAGAAGGGGGACCGCACAGACTGTATCAACTACAGGGGCATCTCACTTCTCAGTGTGCTGGGAAAGGTCCCGGCAAGGATTATTCAACATCACCTTGCTAGGCGCGCTGAGGAGAGGCTTGCGGAGCCCCAATGCGGTTTCAGGAAAGGGCGGTCTTGCACAGATGCCATATTTTCTGCTACAGCAGAGGTAGGGAATTCCAAAAAGACCTACATCTCTGCTTTATTGACCTGGTCAAGGCCTATGATACCATCAGTCGGCCTGGGCTCTGCGTTGTTCTTCGTGCTTTCGGAGTCCTTGACCCTCTGCTCACGATCATTATGGACCTTCATGATGGTGAGCGGGCCCGGGTAAAACTACGTGGCCGGGAGTCAGAGCCATTCCCTGTACACCTTGGGGTACGACAGGGATGTCCTCTGGCTCCCACATTATTTAACATCTATTTTGACCGCGTAGTTTGTGAAACCTTCAATAGCTGTAACGGGGAAGTTTCCATTTGGTGCTGATCGATGCCCGGGTGCGGTCAAGGGATGGCTCCCTATTGGTCAACCATGTTACGTATGCTGATGATTTGGTAAAAGCTGCTCATTCAGAGGAGGAGTTGGAGACGCTGCTGCTGAGACTGGAGCATGTCACTAAGAGGTGGGGCCTTACCATCAGCCCCACCAAAACTAAGCACCTGCCTAGGTATTTTGTACCATCGGACACTCCACCCACACAACTCTCAATCGGTGATGGGGCAGTTGTGGAGAGAGTGGAGAGTTTCCCATATCTGGCACAATAACAGGCACCGCGGTAGCGAGATGTTAACTACTTCACCTGGTATATAGGAGGTCGTCGATTCAATGCCAACCCTGATGCGTATATATTTGGAGTTTGCGTGTGTCTCTACCTGTGGTCGTGTGGAATTTTTTTTCTGCGCTCTCCGGCTTTTTCCTCATAAATTTATGAACATGCTTTGAGAGTATTTGGTTGCTATCAATTTCCACACTATAAGCCACTTCGTTGAGCTATAATTTGTGATAGCCAGGTGCTTCTGAAAAAGAGCTACATAGCTCAGTGGGCCTTACCTGATAAATATAAATTTGTTTAGTTTAATTTCATATCACCCGCATTGGTGATCCCTCCGTGCATCATCTCATCTCCCAACTCCCACCACCAACCCTCTCTCTTGCATAGTGACCGTTGTAGTGTGTGGACTTTGTTCTATTGCTATGCATTATACCACGTTTCTTGACCTTAATTTACTGTTTATTTGCATAAAATTGTGACCTTAATCATGCAGAAGCGAGTACTTGACAGGGGCTTCCTCGTGGGGTCGGATGCTTAACAGGGTCTTAACGAGTCTACCATTAGAACCTCCCCAGTACCTCATCCTCATCAATGTCATCATCACGTCAGTTTTAAAGGTAAAGAACATTATTTTATTGTTTTTAATAATGTTATTTTTTTTTATTATGTCATTGTGTATTTTACGTGTGTTTAGTGAAGGAACGGGCAACTTAGTGAGGCTTTGACGAGTGCATCCACGGCCACGGTTGCCCTCACCCCCGTTTCCCACATCGGGGTTGAGTATCACCAACTGCGCAGTTTTGCCAACCACGGCGGTTTTCAGGAGATGAGGGATTACCGTCACTGGTATTTTTTTAGTGCTCTTTTTAGTTTTGTGCCAATCTTTTATCTTGTCCATGGCAGAAACATCCTCAAGCTGACCAACGAGTTTGACCTGGCTGAGGGGAATGTGACGCGAGACTCCTACCACGTTGCCCTCGCCTCCCTCAACTCCACGTGGCCTCAGCGTGTCCACTCGCTCGGCATACTGACGTGCAACCTGCAGCAGAATCTCAACCAGGTAGTGTATCTTCTCTGTGCTCAGCTTCTTGCTCCACTGGTAGCTGGACGTTGAACAGAAATACTGGTAGTTGGTTACCTTACACGTGTGAGTATATTGTAACTTTTATCGTATAGCCAACTGTGTTAATTGGAGGTGTGGGGGAAGGACAACAAATTTAACAGAAAAAGCAGTTCTAAAAAACTAAGTTTTCAATCCAGATTATTTAAAAGTGCATATCTCCAGTGGCTTCCTAATATCGGAAGGAAGAGCATTCCAGACGGCCGCAGAAGCGCATGATGCGGTGCCCGTCTTGGTTCGATAGTTAGCCAAAACCCTCTGCGAGGATTACCAGAGTTCACGTGTTGGTTTATGCTCCTTGAGATCAGCAAGGTATTCCGGTTCATTTGTTTCAAGCACTTTGTGTGTAATGAGTGCGACTTTGTAATGCAACCTTATTATACTGTGGTCTTTCCTGACATCTCAATTGTATGGGAGGAGTTTCTTTATGAATGTTGGGCTGGTTTGGCACGGTCCATAAGCAACAACCAACAACAACCACGACAGTTGTGCCAGGCTATGTGCACCTTGAGGCCACGTGAAGTGTCGAACGCCGCTGGCAGGAGATCACGGGGCAGACCCAGCTGCCACGGGTTAACTGACTGAGACGACTGGCTGATGCACCATCTGTGCCCCCTACTGTGCCAAATTGCTGTGCTTTAGCCACCCGGCGCTCCACTCATTGTTGTGAGCGTCGCTCCTCCGCCCTCCGTTGTTGTTGGAGGGCGACAGCCTCCAACTGCTCAGTAGCGTCCTTCACGAGCCTCCTCCAAAGAAGCCAATCTTGACACCGCTGGTACCAGTCATTGGCAAGTCCACTCAGCTCCATATCCTCCTGTACCACATCACTCCATCTCTTCTCTAGCCCGTGCTGTGCACGTTTAGCCCCCTTGATCCGGCCGAACAAAAGCTGTTTAGGCATGCGGTGGCTGGACATGCGGGCTACATGGCCCATCCAACGCAGCCTTGACTGCCGGAGGAGCTCAGCCGATGGGACTTTTGTTCAGATCTTTCAAGGATTTGTGAGCTCCTCACGCAATCCAGCCTGGTTAAACCCAGGATGGATCGTAGGCAGGCCAGCCGAAATGTTTATAACCAGCGAAGATGTTCCATTAGGGGGGGTCTACGTTTCACAAGCGTAGAGAAGGGAGGGAATAACTGTGGCCGAGAAGACCTGAAGCTTCGTGTGGAGCGACAGACGAGATAGCTTCCACACAGCGTTACGCAACCGATGAAAAAATAATGCCGCTCGACTGATTCGGAGTGAGACCTCTGCTATTAAACCGGAGCCGGTCATGAGCACACTACATAGGTATGGGAATCTCTCCACTCTCTCCACAACTGCCCTATCACCAATTGGGAGTTGTGGGGGCAGAGTTTCCGATGGTACAAAATACCAGAGGTGGGACAAAGTCATTGTTATGCAAGTCCAAGTCGAGTTGCAAGTCTTTGTACATTTTGCCGAGTCGAGTCTGAAGTCATCAAATTCATGACTCGAGTCTGACTCGAGTCCAAGTCACATGACTCGAGTCCACACCTCAGAGGTGGGACAAAGTCATTGTTATGCAAGTCCAAGTCGAGTTGCAAGTCTTTGTACATTTTGCCGAGTCGAGTCTGAAGTCATCAAATTCATGACTCGAGTCTGACTCGAGTCCAAGTCACATGACTCGAGTCCACACCTCTGCAAAATACCCAGGCAGGTGCTTAGTTTTGGTGTGGCTGATGGTAAGGCCCCACCTCTGAGTGACAAGCTCCAGGTTCAGCAGGAGCACCTCCAACTCCTCCTCTGAGTGAGCAGCAATTACCAGATCATCGGCATACATAATATGGTTGAGCAATAGGGAGCCATGCCTTGACCGCACCCGGGCATCGATCAGCCTCCCATTGTATCTGTACCAGATGGAAATTCCTCGGGTACAGCCATTGAAGGCTTCACGAACTACGTGGTCGAAATAGATGTTAAATAATGTTGGAGCCAAAGGACATCCCTGTCGCACACCAAGGTGTACAGGGAATGACTCCAACTCCCGGCCACGTAGTTTTACCCGGACCCACTCACCATCATGAAGGTCCTTAATGATCGTGAGCAGAGGGTCAGGGACTCTGAAAGTACGAACAACAACCCAGAGCCCAGGCCTACTGATGATATCATAGGCCTTGACCAGGTCAATAAAGCAGAGATGTAGGTCTTGTTGGAATTCCCTACACCTCTACTATAGCAAACGGACAGAAAATATGGCATCTGTGCAGGACCGCCCTTTCCTGAAACCGCATTGGGGCTCTGCAAGCCTCTCCTCAGCGTGCCTAGCAAAGCGATGTTGAATAATCCTTGCCAGGACCTTTCCTGGCACACTGAGGAGTGAGATGCCCCTGTAGTTGTTACAGTCTGTGCGGTCCCCCTTTTTAAAGAGGGGGACCACCAGGGCATCCTTCCAGTCCTGCGGAACCCATCCAGTGGTCCAGACTGTTGTTATGATGTCATGTAGGGCAGTCTGTGCACAAACGCCACCCTCCCTCAGCATTTCGCTTGGGAGATCATCTCTGCCCGGTGCCTTTCCTGGGCTCAGACTCTGGTTCGCCTGCAGTACTTCCTCAACAGATGGCACCTCAGCCAGCCACTCACAGGGGGTGACTTCTTCCAATATTTGAGGCACCGCAGCCCCGGCAGGGTCATCCCCACTTTGTCCCACGTTGTTATCTGGCTGAGGGATGTCCCCTCTTCCAGGACCTCACAAAAATGCCCAGCAAATCTGCAAACTGGTTCCTGTGGGTCGGAGATTGGATCACCCTTCTTTCCCCTAAAATGATGGTAATAGATGTGGCACTACAAGTTACTTTTTATGAAATTAAAAAGCGATTTGGAATCGCGGGCCATTGAGGCAGACTCCATCTCCTTAGCAACCCGCGACTACCACCCATCCTTGCAGCGCCTCACGGCTCTCCGAACCTCCAAGCGAAAGCTGCGGTAAGCGACAGCATTGCCCGTCCAGCACCACGAGGAGGTAGGGGTTTGTTTTGATGGACTTCCGTAAGCACATGCCTAAGCACGTGCATTGAATATAACAATGCATGTGCTTTTCTGCACAACGTTCTAAATTAATCTCTTCATTTCAACACAAGAGGTTCCTCCTCTAATTATTTTATTTAAAGTTCATGCCGTACGACTGATAAATTGGTGGTTTAAATGAGGCTCCCTCAATTCCTTCCTGTGCCAGTACACCATCACCCTCATTTAGACTGAAAACTAATTTCTTTACAACTGTTTATCTAAATACAACACATAAAAACATAATAAGCACGTAAAGCAGTGGACTGTAGTCAAATTAAAACTATCATAAAATTCCGGGCTGGAACGGCACCTCCACCTTCACCGTTATTCCTGACAGCAAAATTACTGCCCACTTAATGCAAATTCGTTTTACGCAGCAATTTGGCATTATGCTTTCAGCTGCCGTCTGGAATACTCTTCTGAATTTAGGAAGCCACTGGGAACTGTGCACTTTTAAATCATCTAGATTTATAAATGTCTTTCTTTAGAAGCGCTTTTTGTGTTGAGCTTATTGTCCTTCCCCCGCACCTCTGATTAGCACCGTTGGCTGCGTACAGTACGAAATAAGTTGAACATACGCACACACATACATACAATTGGGCCGATATCACTTTCATGTTTTGCAGACCACAGAGCTTTGGCAATTGTTGGTAGCGCCGGCTCCCCACACTGGCGTGGCACCTGCTGCTGCCTTATCGTTGGTCTGTAGTTCCTCATCCCGAGGTCACGTCTCTGTAGGACGATGGGTGGCAGCTCTTTTCCTGCTGTCGCCTCTAGGTTGTGAAATTCACTTCCATTGGACATTCACTGTGCTGAGTTCCTCGCGTTATTATAATCAAAGCCATACATTTTAAGGCCTTTTCATCCTATGTGAATAATTCATGTTGGGGTTGTATTTAATTGGTGTAAGCCTGCATGTTTTTTTGTACACTTGTGACCTCCAGCTTCAATGTAATCTATAAGTGTAAATTATTATAGACTTACAGACTCTCGTGGAGACTCACAGACTCTCATAGAAAGTGCTGTGTGGCCAGATGTGGTGCTGGCCACACACCCTTTGTGTGTCATGCCAGCCTTCATCTTCGCAACTCGCTAAAAGCACTTGCCTCTGCAGTCAATTCAAAGCTATATCCGAGACCTTTGTCTGCCTGTGTGTGTGTACCTAGGCAGCGTCAGGAACTGGACTTGTGTTCATCGTATTTACTGAAGCAATACTGAACATGCCCGGATCACAGGTGAGCTCAGGTGGGAATTAATGCGTTTGAGTCCTAAGTCTGGGTATCGCCCTGTCTCTCTCTAAGAATGTTCATAGTAAACGTATTAGAGACACTGAGCCAGCACCACGGAGGCCTGAATTGGATTTTAGGTTCCAGCTGTACCTGGGATTTAACTGGGTTCTGTATGTGTGTACGTTGAACTTTCGCACCGTACGTATCCAACCGTGTTAATCGAAGGTGCGGGGGAAGGGCAACAAACTAAACACAAAAGCACTTTGAAAGAAATTCGTTTTCAATCTATATGATTTAAAAGTTCATCGCGCCAGTCGTTTCCGAATATTGGAAGAGCGTTCCAGACACATCTGAAAGTGCAAGGTGACCGTGTTTATTTGATGGTTCGCCAAAAGCCGCTGCTGCGTGGGTGACCGGAGTTCGTGTGATGGTGTAATGGGTTCAACTGAGTTGCAGACGTAGACTTGGAGGCAACACATTTATTCAGTTCCAACATACGGGGTAACTTCCCCTTAACAGAATAACAACCTATGGTGGTGATCACTAGGCTAACTACACTAGTTACAACGTAACTGCTACTATGGACTGGGACCAATGACTTCGGCCCGGGTCCACGTGTTCGAGACTCATTTAACGGAGAACGTAGAAGAAGCGTTTCTTCCAGGATGAACAACAACCCTGGTCCCTCTCGGGACCCGGCTTATATTCTCTGTGGCATGGCCGGCTCCGCCCTTGGCCTGGTCCACCTTCCAGAATTCTCGGGAAGGATCTGGGTCCCAATCACGTGACCCCCCCCTATCCCCCTCTTGGGGCCCCTTTGTCAACTTAACTGGTCACGTGTCCTCCCGGGTCAACCAGAATGCCATGGCCTCACAGAACCTCATCCTTCGGCCGGCACCCACACACCGTGTCCTGTTGGGTCGGCACTGCACTTAAAGCGTGGTGCCATCTAGCTCTATTATTCAGCACACACCAGGCCCCTCTAGGGCTCGTACTACACCCACATCATTGTGGTATCCGGCGATGTCGCTATACCGCACACCGTGCCCCTCTAAAGCCAGTACTGCACCCACAGCCTGTTGACATCCAGCGATGCCACTACAATGGTTTATGCTCCTTGACGAGATCAGCAAGGTATTGTGGTTCATTTGTAGCAAGCAGTTTGTGTGTGTAATGAGTGCGACCTATAATATATTCGTTTGGCAACCGGAAATCAATGCAGCTTGGCGAGCACTGGTCGGACTAGCTTCTGAAGTATAGTGATCTTGTGGTCTAATACCCATCACCAGTGACTGGCATAGAGTGGACCATAGTTTCAGGTTTATTTTGGTTCACCTCGTGAGAATTCAAGAGGCTAGCAGAGAGTCTAGTTTGTAAGAATGGCCTGGGGTCACCAACATTACTTAGAGACCCAGAGAGACCCACAGTGATACATATACAGGTAGTCCTCTACTTACGATGGAGATGTGTAGTGCCATAAGAGGGGAGGGGCTGCTGGGGGCTCTGAGATCCTAGGTAGATAAGCCCTCGGCGCCAGGCGCTAGGATCCCAGGCACCCCAGACAGTTAAGCCCCTTGGCGCCACCAACGGGGGGGCTGTGTGTGCTCTGTGGGATATCTGGGGGTGCACACAACCCCACCCCTCGTTGGGGACGAGGCATAAAAGGGCAGCTCCCTGGCCGATCGGGACCAGTCGCAACTCAAGACCCAAGACCCGCCAGCCAGCCAGCTTAGGACCCTGGAGTCCCTCATCCCGCTTGTCCTTGTAAGGGCCGGGACGCTGGGTGGGCCAGTGGTGGGACTCTGGGACTCCCGGCTCTACGTCTTTGTAAGGGCGAGTTCCGAGGAAGCCAGAGTCCAGACCCGCACCTTGGCTGGGTCGGGTCAGGTAGCCTCCCCTAGGGTAATTGTAGCCGGAGGACCCCAGAGCGTAGCCAGAGTAGTGTATCTAGGCTGTGTACCTAGGCTGTGTACCTAGGCTGTAACAGAGTATCAGGACTGTTGGAATGTTGTATTGTAATAAAGAAGTTACCTCTACAAGTGTCTCCGGAACCCATTACAGATGCGTTACGACGAAGATGGCCTAGCCTACCCAGGAGTCTTAAAGAATGGTGATAATTTAGCAAAACAAAGCAATTTACAGTACCTCACTGTATAAACTATACTCTGTATGTATTTATTAATTACAATACTGTATTGCACAGTAAAATGTAAAGTAAAAATAAACAAGGTAAATTCTTAGCCTACCTATATGAACTGAAATTTAATAGAAAGTTTTTTCAGGAAACAATCCTATCTACTATAAAAAAACTTTTAACATGCTAAAAATACACGTGCTAACACTGAGACAACTTAACTCCGTCGACCGCTGGTGAGAGTGAGGCATCACACAAGGCGGGAGATGCATACATCCCGGCAGCGTCCCAACGTACAGTATCGTACCTCGTATGCTGCTGCGTTTGCCTGCCGCGCGAAATTTAAAATATTTTACAATTTTGTCGTATTGCTATCGCCATCGTAAGATCGAAATATCATAAGTCGGACCATCATAACTCGTGGACTATCTGTATATGTGTAGTGAGTCCAACTGAGTCGCAGACGTTATCTTAGGAGCAACACTATTTATTTCACCAACTCAACACACAACATAACGTAGCCTACACTTGGGTGTTGAACACCCATCTAACCACGCTACGGCAGAACTAAACATGATTCGCTATCCCGGTCCAGACCACAAGCTGGGTCCCAGACCGCGTGGCTAGAGGCTTCTTCAACCCGACGTAGATCTTCATCACCAGCAACCCAAAAAACCCCGAGCCCCTCACGGGGCTGGGGCTGGGGCTGGCTCCGCCTCTCGCCCCGCCCACCTTCTAGATCTCTCTAGCTCTTTCCCGAAGGCTCCTGGGAGCTCCTTTATACCATGTGACCGCTCAGCGGTTCCCATCCACTGCACACTGTACGTGGTGCCTCCGCATACAGTAACCCATAGATTCACCATGTTGTATGTGTTGGGTTATGAAATTTTGATAAAAATAATAAAAATTAATAATTTTCCGAAAAATGCGCAAATCGCATGAATTATGATAGTGTGTAATTATATGCATTAATTATGATGTGTGTAATTATATGCATAAATTATGATAATCACGGAGATACTCGTAGTAATTTATGCGGATGCTTGCGATTATGTTAATGTGAGCAGTTATGATAATTAAGTTTAGTTTCGTTTATCCAGAGTTATATCAATCAGGATAACACGATTATCATTGATTAAACATTTACCGATTATCTTAGTGTGTGTTATGTTATTTTAGGTCTCCAGTTTCATATCTCATCACAGGCTACAGTTTTCAGGAATAAGACAGTTTTGCATGGACTTGGAAAGAAGCACTCGAGACTTGGTGTTAAGCAATTTTAATTCTAAACAAACACATGACACTCTAGTATGCAAAAGCAAGTATGCGTCAATAAATTCATGGGCAAGATTATGCAATTAACGAAAATGAATGACTAAAACATTCCTTATTCATGTAACTCGACGGCAGCAACTGCTTTGCACGATCAGTTGGTAGTGAACGCACCACCTTGAAATGGCAACCCTTTTTGAAACACAAAGATAACTTTTGAAAGTCTTATTCATGTGCGTGTTGTGTGTGTTGTCCCCTTTTAAAATGAATTAGATTTTCTTAGAGCCGGGAGTTGTGTCGTTAGCTTGTGTGGTGTGGGAGGGAATATACAAACAGCGGCCAGGTTCTCTCTGGCTTGGGTGTGGCCGCAGCGAGCCGTGCTCTCTCCCTTTCTCCACTGCTCGATTGAGCGGCGTTGGCACGATGCTCGCCGTCGTGGTGCGCGATGATTCCGTCGTCGGATTTCGCGCCGCTCCTCCACGAGTCGGCACGACGCTCGGTGATGCCTGAGTCGTGCTGCTCGTGCGCTCTCTCTCTCTCTACTGCTAGATGAGTGGCGTCGGCACGACACTCGCCGACGTGGGACGTGCTGCTGCTGTCGCTCTCTCCTTGATCGCTGCCAACTTCACACGGACACTCGCCCTTCAGGCGGTGTTGGCTCGAGCTCTGAACAACGTGGCTGTGCGCGCTCACTGGCTTGGAGCGCTCTGGCGATGAACGATGGCTCTTGTTGCCCATCTGCTGCTGCTCGTCCTTTGCGACGCTCGCTTGGTCGACTCTTGGCGATTTCCGCCCTTTTAGAGGTTGATTGCTTGTCGTCACTCGTCACTCTCTCTTCTCCGTGCTTCCTTTGTTCGTGCAGCTGCCAGCTTCACTCGCACTTAACTTCGTTCTGCGAGAAGCGACACCTGCTATCGGCATCAGTGTTTGCTCCCTCACGATGCTCCGCCAGCCAGAGCATGGCTGAAACCCAGCCTCGACCCAGGTTGAATTCAGACTTCTGCGACTCGAACGACCCCTCCTCATTCTATCTCCCTTGAGGCACGATCTGCCCCAGCTCCCTTGCGAGCCCCGTCGCAACGCCGCGTCGCAAGCCGAGTTGCAAGACTGAGCGCGACTCGGACAGACTGCACTCAGGCTGTCACCTTAACGATGTCTCGTCGTCCCATCTCTCCTCGAGGCACGACTGCCACAGCTCCCTTGCGAGCCCCGTCGCAACGCCGCGTCGCAAGCCGAGTTGCAAGACTGAGCGCGACTCGGACAGACTGGTCATTCGCTATGTGCGCTTGTGCTTAACTCAAAACGTGACTCCCCTCTCTGCGCATTCCTTGCGAGCGGGAAACAAAACAACAAAAACGAGCGAGAAGAACCAGACACCCCCGGCGACCCCTCCTCGCGACCTTTCCTAACCCCCCAAGCATTCATGGGCCATCTGTTTGTGCCGGACCGTTGGAGACAAAGGTGGTCGAGGAGATTTTTGCAATACATTTATGTGGTCCTGTGTGTTACATTTATTCTTGAGATTTCTTATGGATTCCTTCGGTCTTAGTATCGTGGTAATCATTCGTCTATGTTTAATGAATATTCGTAATGATCCTCG